CACCTGATACTGCTACTGCTACTGCTGTTGCTGCTCCTACTACTACTACTACTACTACTACTACTACTACTACTCCTGCTGCTGCTCCTCCTCCTCCTCCTACTACTACTACTACTACTACTACTACTACTGCTACTATTGCTACTATTGCTACTATTGCTACTACTACTACTACTACTACTACTACTGCTACTACTGCTGTTGCTGCTACTACTACTACTACTACTACTGCTACTACTACTGCTGCTAGTAGTATCACGTTGAGAATTACAATTGATATCGATCATACTTGAACTGCTGCTACTGTTGATCTTTTTGAATAGTCCCTCATCATCGTATCCCCTTCTTGGCCCTATTACACAGGACCAACTGCCCGCGAACCCTGTTCTGTTCATTAAGGCCCCAATCGCACCAAGACCCTGCACCCTAACTAAGCCTAACGGCCCTAAGCCCCAAAGCCTGAACCAAAAACCCTAAACACTAAACCCCAGGAGCCCTAAACCTTAAAGCCTGAACCCTCGACACGAAACCCTAAGCCTTCAAGCCTTAACAAAAACTGCCCAGGTAGCGAGCAAGCGACTGCTTGGGCTCGGGACGAAGAGTCTCTCTTTGGCGTCGGGGGCATCAGCTGAGATTGAGGTCTTAGGATTTAGGGTTTAGGCTTCTTAGGCTTTGGCATGTCGTCGTGGGTTTTGGGAAGGTTTAGGGCTTTTAATTTGAGGTTGCTTCGAAGTTGTGTTGAGGGTTTGTGGGTGTTTTTCCGCCGTAAGCTAGCGTCGAGGTGCGGTGTGGCTTCGAGATGTTGTTTTGGGTTGGTGGCCTCCAACTCCGGTTTGTTTTCAGAACCTAGTTATGCCTCTATAGGATGATGCTGGGGAAGCGTTGGTCTTGAGATCTTGTAAGGGCCTAGTGTTGGGGATGTCTTCTTTTGGGAGGTGCGGGGGTTTACAAAGGGCGCATGTTGAAACTGTACTGACCCTGGCTCCTGCAGCTTCCATGAACCGATCGCCAAACCCATGTTAGCATGAGGGCCGAAATCATGAGCCCCAAACCCCTAAACCCTAAACCCCAAACCGCTTTCGCAGGGCATGAAGGTCTCCACAACCCTAAATGCCTCAATGCGCTACCGATGACGAGCAGAGAAGGTTGGGCTGTGAGACTGCCCAAGGTCGTTTAGGGTTTAGGGTTTAAGGTTTAGGGTTTAGGGTTTAGGATTTAGGGTTTAGGGTTTAGGGTTTATTTCGATCTCTGCTATAGCTTCCGCTTCACAGCTTCGACCAGCCGCGTCTTTTAAACAGGAGCCGGAACAGTCAGCAACGACGTCCCCCTGGAGTCTTCATGCAGGTGAACTTGTTGAGTTCTAGCCCCAAAGCCTTGCTCGAAGTAATCAGGCGCTGTACTACTTACAGTAACGGATCAGGGGACTATGTGACTGGGCTAATAAGGGCTAATAAGCATGTAACAGCATGTAGTACAGGTATCATAACTTGTAATAAACCCCACGTAGTACCCCCACGTCCCACTAGAATTTCAGAGATCAAAAATTCACGAGTTTGGGTGCAGGGTTTAGGGTCTTTAGGGTTAGAGTGCGATAGGCAGAACTCACTTGTCGACGGCGCAGGTTGACGAAGCATTGCCGTGTGACACCACCACCACCACCACCACCACCACCACCACCACCACCACCCGTCTCTTCCGAAGCCACAATTGCCCCGAATATGGAACTTCAGCTTCTACTTGTATCTGCAGGTGCCAAATCTAGAGGTCTTAAGATTTCAGAAGTGGCCCACAACTTCGTCCGAATTCTGAAAGGCCCCTTCTACTTCATCCTGAACTTCTCACCACCTTCCAGCCCAGACCCGGTAGCCTTTTGTTTCATCCTACGCCCAAAGTCCCAAAAGCCTCCCTAAAGTGAATCCAAGAAAGCTGGGTCATGGGTTTCGCTAGGTACTTTACGTTTAAGGGTATGAGGAGAATAATAATAACAATATTAATGTTACAACTTTCTGACTTCTACCCTAAACCCTAAACCCCTGAACCCGAAACCCTACAACCCTATAAACCCTACTATAAAGCCCTACATCCCTGAGCCTTGCGAAACCCTAAACCCTAAACC